CACTTTCTTAGGATTTTTCAAGAATCTCCTATTTATCATTGCCATTACCACTAGGTTTCTATGTTTGACTCGACTAATTCCCAATCCTCGTAACTTCTTTGGATTGGACACTTCTTCCCAATTAACCAAATGGATCTTCTTTTTTTTTGGTCGATTGAACCTCAAAGAAAATTTAGATTTATTCTATCAATTTCCTCACATACTACAACGAGAAGTTTCAAAACTTGTATATGGTACTGGAGGGTAGCTGATTTGACAGAGTTAATTAAAAGTTGCCCGAATTTCTAGGAATAAGAGTTTTGTTTTCCATCCACCCAATTTATTCCTAATCTTATCAACCAGGAATTGAAAATTCGCTCGTTTGGGTTTTTTGTGGATCAAAGGATATCTCAAGTACTTCCCTAGATTATTTGTGCAACTAATTCCCAAGGTGTTGCTCCATTCAGTGATCACTTCTAGTGTACAATTTGGAGAAAACTTCATTTTTGACTTTTGAAAATTAATTTTGGGAAAAGTCTCATTTTGTCCCTTGAAAGATAAAAAATTTATCAGCTTGCCCCCGAACAAATAATTTTCCCATATTGTCCCTCAAAGAAATAAAAATGTTACAATGTGGTCTAATGTTTTTATTTTTCTCTTGGTCGTCCGTTTGTTTTTTATCAGGCGACCAAACGAAAATAAGATGGTGGACCAAATTGTAATGTTTTTATTTTTTTTTGAGGTGACAGTATGAGAAAATTAATCATTCAGAGTGTAAATTGATAATTTTTGTATCTTTCAAGGGTAAAATGAGATTTACCCTTAATTTTTTGCCCCGAGGTTGTACAAAACAGCTCAGTGTGTCCTTAAAATGTTTACACTCCTATTCATGAGTTGNGTAAAATGAGATTTACCCTTAATTTTTTGCCCCGAGGTTGTACAAAACAGCTCAGTGTGTCCTTAAAATGTTTACACTCCTATTCATGAGTTGCTTCTCCAAAAAGAAACAAGTCATCCGCAAACATTATTTCTCCTCTGCCTATTTTCACTGGTTTCCATTTTCCTTGTTCAACCGACCTTTCTATCATGTTGGCCAATACATTCATGCAAATGATGAATAGGTAGGGTGACAAACGGTCCCCTGCCTGACTCCTCTAGTCGCCCTAGCCCATTATTCCCTAACTCATTATGTGGTACTTTCATTAATTAGTATTGTAAATTTGGTTGAGGTCACGCACGCCATGATAATGTTAATGATTTTTCGGGGAAGCTCTATTTTTATTAAGGTTTGCTCAATGAAATCCCACCGAAGTCAATCATAGGTTTTTTCCAGGTTTTTTTTTTAATGGCCACTATTCCTTTTCTACCCTTCTTTTTGGTCATGGTGTGCAGGAGTTTTTTGGCTATGACTACGTTGTCCACGCTCTGCCTTCCTGGGACGAAACTGGATTGAAGTGTATATATTATATTTTTCTAGTTGAGGACGAATTCTTTGCACCAGGATTTTAGATAATACCTTCTAAATTATATTACATAAGCTAATTGGCCTATATTGATTCGAGGATTGGGGTTGTTAATGTTTCTATGACATTATGGGTGAATGGTTTCAAAGTTAAAAACTGTTATAATGAAGTGTTGAATACTTATTGCCACATTGTCCCATTCTTTTTGGAAGGAAATAGCATGAAAACCGTTGGGACCCAGGAGCATTCTTGAGTTTCAGCTGCCACAAAGCATTATTTATTTTCCTAAGGTCTGGGGTTTGAATCAAGACATCCTTATCCTCACTGGCTATTTGGGGGAGTACCGGATATTCTATGGTCTGTGAGCGTGATGGTTCGTTCATGGGGGCAAAAATTTCCTTGAAGTGGGCTTCAATTGTGTTCTTTATTTCTCCTGTGTGTCAGTTATCCATTCCCCCACAGAGTTCATTAGTGTCTTAATCCTATTCCTCATTTTCCTAGCCAATGCAGAGGTGTGAAAGAATTTTGTATTCCTATCCTCAACAGCCAACCAATCAATCCTAGATTTTAAGGGCCAAAATTCTTCCTCTTGCCTTAGGATGGTTTGGTATTCTTCCCTCAGTTGTTTGTCCAGATTAATTAAGAAAGGATTGGGACTTGGGCAAAGCTTTTTCTGAATTTCCAAGCATTTTTCCCTTTTTTTTTTTTTTTTTGAAAATGTTCTTAAATTCCTTCTTGTTCCATTCCCTCAAAGTGCCTGCTAGCCTGCTTATTTTCTTGTTTATGATCTCATCACCCCTTGCCAACCAATACCCCCTTTTTAAGCAAGAGCTAAAGTGCGGCTACCTTTTTAAGCAAGAGCAAGTAGCTCCTAAAAATACTCTTATTATTCCCAACAAAGAGGTTAAATTTATGAGGGAAGGTATGACTTTGAAAAGAGAAAAAAGCTATTACCACTGCTACCATAGTAGCAACATGTCCATGAGAATTACTCAAAAGCAACGAGTTCTCTCTGTTCTAATAATTGGGCTTGTTTTTCCTTAAGAGACAACTTTCCAAACTATAAAGAATTAGACGCTCCTAGCCTATATGATTAAAGCTAAAAGGTGAATTGTTTNACTTTTTGAGCAAGAGCTAAAGTGCGGCTACCTTTTTAAGCAAGAGCAAGTAGCTCCTAAAAATACTCTTATTATTCCCAACAAAGAGGTTAAATTTATGAGGGAAGGTATGACTTTGAAAAGAGAAAAAAGCTATTACCACTGCTACCATAGTAGCAACATGTCCATGAGAATTACTCAAAAGCAACGAGTTCTNGAGGTTAAATTTATGAGGGAAGGTATGACTTTGAAAAGAGAAAAAAGCTATTACCACTGCTACCATAGTAGCAACATGTCCATGAGAATTACTCAAAAGCAACGAGTTCTCTCTGTTCTAATAATTGGGCTTGTTTTTCCTTAAGAGACAACTTTCCAAACTATAAAGAATTAGACGCTCCTAGCCTATATGATTAAAGCTAAAAGGTGAATTGTTTTCTGTTGTATTAATTTTGTGTTGATTTGAGTTGCTTATGTCAAACACACTTTTCATTACCAAATAAAAGCACAACAATTGACTAGTCAAACATCTTTTGATCATTTGATATCGATCGATTGAAAGAGAATAAAATTATTCTTATATACTCTCCTAATGAAAACACAACAACAACTTAGATAGCTCATGCCTTAGAGCTTTGGTACCTATTTCCAAATGCTTTAGAGCTTTGGTACTAGTAACAAGTTCAAACCTTAGAAACGTGCGAAAAAATAGGTATGAAATTGTTGATAAAACTATTCAAAAAATAAATAAATAAATAATTGATACAATGAAAAGTGATTATATGAGATCTGACAAGAAACCAATGTAGACAATAAATTGTTAGGATATATTGTTACATTTCAAAAAAAAAAAAAAAAA